CTTAGAAAAAGTCAGAATTCTAAGTTTACATCTCAAAATTAATAACTCGGAATTAAGAACTCGCAATTGCTAGGTATAAACTCGAAATTCTGAGAAAAAGTCGGAATTCTAAGTTTACATCTCAAAATTAATAACTCGGAATTAAGAACTCGCAATTGCTAGGTATAAACTCGAAATTCTGAGAAAAAGTCGGAATTCTAAGTTTACATCTCAAAATTAATAACTCGGAATTAAGAACTCGCAATTGCTAGGTATAAACTCGAAATTCTGAGAAAAAGTCGGAATTCTAAGTTTACATCTCAGAATTAATAAATTGGAATTAATAACTCACAATTGTTAGATAACTTCGAAATTATGAGAAAAAGTCGGAATTCTAAGTTTACATCTCAGAATTGATAACTCGGAATTAATAACTCACAATTGTTAGATATAAATTCGAAAGTCTGAGAAAATAGTCGGAATTCTAAGTTTACATTTCAGAATTAATAACTCGGAATTAATAACTCGCAATTGTTAGATATAAACTCGAAATTCTGAGAAAAAGTCGGAATTCTAAGTTTACATCTCAGAATTAATAAATTGGAATTAATAACTCACAATTGTTAGATAACTTCGAAATTATGAGAAAAAGTCGGAATTCTAAGTTTACATCTCAGAATTAATAAATTGGAATTAATAACTCACAATTGTTAGATAACTTCGAAATTATGAGAAAAAGTCGGAATTCTAAGTTTACATCTCAGAATTAATAAATTGGAATTAATAACTCACAATTGTTAGATAACTTCGAAATTATGAGAAAAAGTCGGAATTCTAAGTTTACATCTCAGAATGAATAACTCGGAATGAATAACTCGCAATTGTTAGATATAAACTCGAAATTCTGAGAAAAAGTTGGAATTCTGCGTTTACATCTTGCCAATTAACTTTTAACAATTAATAATTCGTGAATTGCGATATATACATTCGCAATTGTGAGTAACAGAGTCAACTGTGCGATAAAAAGTGGCAACTAACATTTTAAGGCCGGGAACTTGTCGTAGTAAGTGAATTTATGTTTCTCTGTTTTTTTCCCCATCATCTTCATCCTCACTGAACACCGAGTAGAGATGCTTACCGCGGCCCTCGCCGAACTTGGCGCTGTGAGCCCAGGTGAGTCCGCGGGAAAAGCCCAGTTCGCGACACACCACGTTGGCCAGATTGATGTTGACGTCGTCGTCACACACGGTTCCCCACGCGCCGTTATACAGCACCTCCAGCCGGCCCTCGAACCTGTTCCTGCCGCCCTCCAGACGCAGCTGGAACCCCGGGACCCCCTGCGCGAGCGGAGCGACGGTGAGGAGCAGGAGGAGCAGCTGGAACATCATCATCATCATCATCATCATGTCCTCCGCCTGCGGTCGGACACATGCATTACACATCAACCTCTCAAATGCAATCAGAGATAATGACTCCTGCCAGCAGTAATTAACCCAAAGCACAGAGCAGACAAGACAACGAGAAGTTAAAATTAACCAGCGTTCAACCAGGAGTGAAGATCAGTGGATCATGACGTGGAGATCTGAAATCACTGCAGAAGCTGCATGCGTGTATGTTCCAGCGGTCTGAGGCCGTCATCATCACATTCACAGCTGCATGTGTGTTATATCACAACCGCAGGCGTATAAACCACACACACATTCCACTGAAACGCTCAGAATGGCCTCAAAACTCACTGAGAACTGCAGCTCATGGTGGATTGAGGCTTTATGGGAATGTTCAGCCAAAACAACAATATGAGAAGATCTTTTGAGAAATACCTGGTTTTTGTCCGTATAATGAAAGTCAATGGGCTTCAATGTTGTTTGGTTCCCAAATATCTTCATTTGTGTTCAGCTCAATTCTTAGTTTATAATAACTAGCAATTGTTGGGTTTAAACAAAATTCGGAGGAAAAAAGACAAAAGGCTGAGTTTACATCTTAGAAATAAACTTGAAATTTGTGCAAAAAGCTGTTCATATCTCACTGATATAAAGGTTAGACTCTAAAGGTCATGGTGGATGGAGTCTTTATGGGAAAGTTCAGGCATAAATCAACATTCTGTCATGATTTAGAAGATATTTTGAAAAAGGTCTGCATTTTATTAACCATACAGTGAAAGTCACTGTGGTTTCAGATATCTTCATGTGTGTTCCAAAAGAAAGAAACTCATACAGCTTTGACATGATAGAGAATAAATGATGACAGAATGATAATTTTTTGGGTGAAGTGTCCCTTTAAATTCAAAGAGAATGAGATTCTGATGCACGAATACACTATTATTAATCATGCAAGTAAATCCAATAAAAACTGAGAGACTGAAGGAAAACTAACAGAGGAAACCAGACAGAAAAACAATAGAGAGCTTCATGAAATACCCGTGAATGCTCTGAGCAGAAAACAATCAATAGATGAAGATGAAGATGAATGAGATGATGAGAGGAATGATGAGCAGTAAACTCACCTGAGAGAGTGACGCGTGTGATCAGAGCAGAGCAGCAGAAAGACTGAGAGAGAGAGAGAGAGAGAAACCCACATACAGCTTTGACATGATAGAGAATAAATGATGACAGAATGATAATTTTTTGGGTGAAGTGTCCCTTTAAATTCAAAGAGAATGAGATTCTGATGCACGAATACACTATTATTAATCATGCAAGTAAATCCAATAAAAACTGAGAGACTGAAGGAAAACTAACAGAGGAAACCAGACAGAAAAACAATAGAGAGCTTCATGAAATACCCGTGAATGCTCTGAGCAGAAAACAATCAATAGATGAAGATGAAGATGAATGAGATGATGAGAGGAATGATGAGCAGTAAACTCACCTGAGAGAGCGACGCGTGTGATCAGAGCAGAGCAGCAGAAAGACTGAGAGAGAGAGAGAGAAACCCAGCTACTGCTCTCTCTCTCTCTCTCTCTCTCTCACTCACTTTTCTTTTTTCTTCTGGTTTATGTAAAGTCGAGTGATTTTTTTTTAAGTGAATTGTTTTATAAAGAGCAGTTTTAAAGGGACACACTCACTCTGAGTCTTACCTCAACTCTACATGAGTTCATTTGACTGATTTCTTACTTGATGGAGGAACACTGAAGGAGAGATTCGAGGACTCTTTTCACACCAGACATGAAGAAACACCTAGAAACTAGGGAGGCTTGTTTGTGTCATGGAATTAGCAACAACAACAAAAAAGTCATTGCAACATTTTATCTCACAATTATGAGAAAAAAGTCATAATTGTGAGATATAAACTCATAATTCCCTAACAGAAATTAACCATGGTTTTATTATAGTAAAACTGTAGTAACCAGATTTTTTTTTTTTGCCAGATCAATGGCTATTTGTATAACCACAGTTTTATTACAAATACCATGGTTAAACTATGGTATTCAGTTGTACAAAAAAAAAAAAGTGAGATGTAAACTCAGAACTCTGTAAAAAAGGAGATATAAATTCAGAATTGCATGATATAAACTCGCGAAAGCAAGAAAAAAGAATTAAGTCACAAATACCTTTTTTTTTATTCTGTGGTGAAATTTTTTTATATGTAAACTCAGAATTGTAAGATATAAACTTGCAATTTCCTTTTTTTGTGTATTTTTCTGTTCCATGTCAGAAACAGGCTTCTGTAAGAAACATTGTAACATGTTAAAAACACTTTTTGACAACTGCATAGCAACAAAATAACAACTACGCAAAACACCATAGCAACTGCCTAGCGACGCCTTGGAAACCATCGAGTTCAACACTGGAAAGCGTCACTCATGTTTTCCTCATTAAATGTAAAAATATCTTTATGATCGCAATGATTGTTGTTCATTTATGCAGCAGTAAAGCAAACTGATGCATCATGTTTGTCAGTTTCTCCTAAAGCTCAGAATCTCAGTGTTTGTGCAAAATGAGTGAGTGTGTGTGTGTGTGTGTGTGTGAGTGAGAGAGAGAGAAATAAACACACACTCTCTCTCTCCAGAGATCCTCACCATCATCACGTCCTTCTCTGAGACCCGCGTCGCTTCGGATGATGAGGAGAATTAAAGAGGACTGACGTCACACCTCAAGCTCAACGAGTCCTTTATGAGACTCCGCAGATGATTCAGCGTCAGACGAGGGTCTTAAAAGCGATGCAGACTATTAATGGAGACACAGACGCAATAACTAGTCTTTCTTCTTTAAGTTATTTGTGTAGACGGCGTTTAAAATGAATGATTGTTCCATTACACATCTTAATTTCTTTCTGGTAGTTGTGGCGTCCTCTGCTGGAGAGCTCTTCACTCACAGATTCATTATTAACACTGGTGTGTGTGTGTGTGTGTGTGTGTGTGTGTCTGTGAGTGTCTATAAGTGTGTGTGTGTGTGTGTGTGTGTGTGTGTGTGTGTGAGAGAGAGTTATTGTCTATAAATCTGTCTGTGTGTGTGTGTGTGTGTGTGTCATTTTCTAAATTATTAACGTGTTTTAAATAGGCTACAGAAATGGAATAAACTGTAAAGTGCAAATCTAGCCTTGTGTTTTGCTCCTTGAGTGTAAGGTTTTGCTAATTGTTGGAAAAGTTTAATTTTAGTGTGTAAGCAATTGTAAAAAACTGTAACTACTAAACGAGCGTGAAGACATGAGCAGAACCGATTGAAGGAGGGCCATTCCTGCCAAACCTCATAATATCTTTACGAGTTTAGTGCAAATAAACCAGTTACATTCAGTGAGCAGCATAATGAAATAAATACAAATAAAAACTACGCCATACTGTAATCACACACACATATGATCATCCAAACCGCTGTGAAGTGAAAAGGCAAAATATGTCTCTGATATAGACTTTTTGAATTTGATTAGATTTTGATATTTTCTGCTTTCATTTAGGTTTTAGTAATTTTATTCTATAGTATTTATTAATTAAACGTTTTTATTTATTAGTTTTTAGTTTATTAGTTCAGAAAGGTTGCCTTAGATACTAGCTGAAATAAGCTGAAGTTTTTTATATTTTCTTTCAGTTAATATTTCGAGCTTGTGGTGCGACGCTCCGTTCAATCGCTCGCGGCCCAAGCGGCTCAAATCCCGTCCCGACATTACATTTCCTCTGTACTATACACTATGAATATGTAATATATATATATTACATATATGTAATGAATTTCTTGAATAAATGTCAATTACAGCAGGCCTATATTTATGATATTATGGCTTTAAAGCACTACTTCATAAAGTAGGCTGTATATATAAATAAACAAACGCCACGTGACATGATCAGATGATTTCTTAACTGCTGTTTTCTCACCGCTGTCATGCTTGTTGTGTTTATTTTGTTAATAGGAGGAAAGCACGCAGCACATATTAATCTAAACGTCGCTCTCATAAGTGTGGATGTCGGGATGTTCGTTAGCTCATGCTCATAGTTTTAATTAGAATACATCACATCCGGTCTAGCCGCTGAAGTTCAAATATTTTAACGCATCCGTCAAATCGAATCCAAAATTTTCACATAGGCACACGATCGGAGTTCCGCGCAGCTCCCACACTTCTCTCTGTTGGAAGTGAATGACTTCCAGTCTGTCGCTTGTTTAGTGGCGGCTTTACACATTGTTTGGTCGTGCACTGATTACATTACTTGCCCTTATGCCGAGTTCACACTGCACGATTTTAGCCCGATTTTTCACTCGCCGACAAATGCCCGAAATCGGAGGCAAATCGGTGCTCGTTCACACGAGTGACAATCACGCAGTGTGAATTATTAAAGACGCGATCTGAGGGAATCGTCGATGCGTCACCGACGCCCGTGAAATATTTGGCATGCTAAATATCTGGAGCTGTCGGCGATTCACAATCACGCTGTGTGCAATGAGTTCTGACTGAAAAATACATCGGCGATGACCTACAGCCAATGAGAGAGCAAGATACAGGGCAGAGGGAAGTTTGGGGAGGAGTTATATGAAACGTAGTTTGCGGACCAGTGTTGCCAAATCCACGATTGCCGACGGTTGTTTTTTATGTCAGCAGGTTGAAGCGACCCCAATAACGTGATATTTAGGCCCTGGAATGTGAATTGCACCAGGAGAACCCCGCCAAAAAAATGTGTATTTTACCCCCCAACGCGATTTTTACTGGGGGACCCCCTCGAAAGCAATTGGGCTATTTTCAGGCTAGTCTTGAGTAGTAATTGGGCGGGTTTTGTAGCGAAAACCTGGCAACCCTGCACCAGACAGCGCTGTCGGCGATTCTTCCTATTGTAAAGTCATGCAGTGTGAAACCTCCTGTTGCCGATCCATCATGCAGTGTGAACACAGCAGCAACTGAATGCTACCCCAGATAGTCACGCAGTGACACCAACAGTGATGCGACGTCTTTGAAAATCGTGCAGTGTGAACTCGGCCTTACTTTCACTGATCAGGGGTCGAGAGAAAGAGAGATGACTGACAAGACTCAACTGAATGATCGAAGTCACGAGTTAGAATCAATCGGATCGGTTCCAGTGTCAATGACTCACTTAATTGAATCAGTTCGTCTGTTCCTCTTTTCTGGTCTTCAGTCATGTTTACACGGCACTGTCAGCTCTACTACTGGCTCAGCTCGCTAGTTTAATGACATTAACTGAAATAAGCGAAAAAAAGTATGTTTACAAATAAAATATCCATATTTCCTTTCCAAAGATAACATTCAACACAAGTTCAGTTCATATAGTATCTGTGCAATCAAGTCGATAATACTGCCAGAAGCGTCCCCAACGAAGCAAGCTATCCAGCGGCAAGGAACCAAAACTCCATCGGTGACAGAAATGGAGAAAAAAACCTTGGGAGAAACCAGGCTCCTCTAGATCTCTGATGGTCTGAGGGTGAGCAGATTTTCATTTTGGGGGGAATTATTTGTTTAAAGAACACAAAGACACAGAAGCAACTGGTTTAACAGACTGAAATTTAGTCACTTTGCAAAGTTTAACACAATATTACCACTGAATCATGATGAGCATGACATCGTTTGTAATAATGACCCAAACAATAGTTTTACAGTCTTATCTGAGAGTATGTTGATTACAGGATATTAAAATAATCAGTCCAATGAACAGAAACTGCATTAGATCCAATTAAACCAAATGTATTTTTGATGAAATGAACTCAAGATACTCAAAAACATACAGAACTCAAGACATTTAACTGATGTAGCAAAGCCTGGTTCAGATCTGCTGGACTATCAGAGGTTCAGTGTTTATGATGACTGATGGAATGTTTCACACTTGCTGCTGTTTTTTGTTGGTTACTAGCTGGTTAATGTCATAAGTCTGATCACACACATCTCTCCGGATCTGAGGAATCGATCACAAACAGTAACTGTTAGGGGTGTAACGATATGCTCAGGTCACGATACGGTATGTATCTCGATACTGGGTTCACGATACGATACATATCACGGTATTCTGAACAAAATTTAAAAAATGAAACTGAAATTCAAATAACAGATTTATTTCAAAAACATTAACAAATTTCAATAACTTTCTTTGTTGTACATACAAGATCACATTTCAAGGCTTAATAAAAACCTTCTGTATTTAAATTAACAACTGAATAGATCTGTCTGTCACTGAAAATGTTTTTTGAATTTAACATGAACTTAGAATTAAGAAGCCTAAGACAGAACTTCTTAACGCAATAAAAAAATAAAATAAAAATAATTAAATGGTGTTCTGTTCAAGTAAGTTCAACATAAACACTAGGGTTTGTTTAGGTTACCTACAGGTTTTTTTGCAAAAAAAACAGCATATCTACATTTTCAGGCAGAAGCTGGGATCTTTGAGCATTCACAATATCCCCTGCTGTAGAAAAAACACGTTCACTGGGAACAAGTTGCTGGAACTGTTAGGTAAGCCTTGGAAAGAGAGGAAAGAAGTG